CCGCCACTACCACCGCAAACCACCAACACGACCACAGCGGAAATACATCCCACTTACCCGGATGACTATTCCCAACTATATCAATCATTTCTGTTTAAGAACCCAGAAAATGTCTACATTCCCGGAGTGACCAATCACCTCATTGGAGATGATGAAAACATCCCCAACCGAGCTTCTCCTCGTCCTAGTTTAACTCCCCAGGCCGCTTACAAGAACAAACCATCTGCACATAATGGGGATCGACTAACNCCCAAAAAGCAATCCGTCCGGTGAGGTACAATCTAGTCGACGTTATGGAAGCCGAGCCACATGTGATTGTCCGAATTGCAAAGAAGCAGACGCTTTGGGTTTGACGGCACCGGAAATGGCGGCCGAATTGCGACAGAAAAATTTGCACAGTTGTCACGTGCCAGGTTGTGGTAAAGTGTACAACAAAACGAGTCATCTAAAAGCACATCTTCGATGGCATACCGGAGAGCGTCCGTTTGTGTGCAATTGGCTATTGTGCGGAAAACGATTCACTCGGTCGGATGAACTGCAGCGTCATTTGCGTACGCACACGGGTGAGAAGAAATTTATTTGTCCCGTTTGTCACAAACGATTTTTGCGCAGTGATCATTTGAACAAACACGCACGAACACACTGTGACAACGAGGAGAATGTATGTGATCCGACCACATTGACAACCGAGCTGACCAGTTATCACAATACGAATAACAATGTGACTGTTGTGAGTAATCCGTTGAGTGTTTCGCCCGTATTGTTGTCCCACATGTCAGATAACAGTTTGTCCGTTTCGAAGTGTACCCCCTTGGCAGATATTTCTGTCGTACCACCAGTACCGTCGATGGATTTGAACAGCGTGAATGACGGTTGAAATGTTTGTCCCTATTCTTCAATACTGCTATCCCTGTGTACAAATGTCTACAATTCAGGTTTGTCAGAGAGAGAGAGAGGTGAGCAAAACGGTCATTGAACGTGTGTGTGTGTGTGTGTGTGAGAGAGAGAGAAATAACAGTGAAAACAGCGCAACAATCATGAGTTTGTCGAAACACCAGATGACCGTTCTCGAAACACTTGTCCAAATTCGGGTGCATCTGTGCGACGCGGTCGGCGGGGGAAAAATCTTCTCTTTTTTTAGCGATTCACAGACTTCGCTTGTTTTCATACCTTTGAGCTGTATATGTACCCCCCCCCCCAACCCCCCTCAAAAAAAACAAAGGAAACCGTGCAATTACCCTTGTTCTCCTTATAGTCGATTGCACTTGTGATTTGATTTCCAAGTGTCTCAATTCAAGCAAGTTTTAAGCCTGGGAAATTGAAACAGAAATCGGTCCAGTAGAACTAAGTCACTATTGTATTTGGTTTGGATTGTATATCAACTAACAGATATTGGTTCTCAAATCGATAGTATACATTTTCATTACACAGATCGCCGAAAACGAAACCAGGCAATGTCGAAATCCAATTCCCAATATGTCAAGATCGAAGTTGCTTGACCCCATGTTCCGTCGGTGTGTGTCCGTGTCCCAGTAGGGCTTATCTGACGGGACATCCTGAAGAACTCTGGTCCAGACAGTGCGTACACAGATGTCCATATCATAAACGATATAAAGTAACACATTATCATGTTATTACTGATAATCATCATGTCACCAATAGTCGAAGTAAGGGAATTGTTTTATGTCGAACTGGCAAAAATTTTGTTGGAATCAGGAAAGTTCACTTGATTTATTACAACTGTTCATTTATTCAGTGAAAATTTGATTCTCGGAAACTGGTTGCAGTGGTTACACATTAGCAAACTCCGTCCACATAGCATCTCATTGTGTAGCTCGTTACCAGGAAAACAACGGTTAACGCCTGGAGCCTTAGGGGCAAAAGCAGTGACTCGGTCTCCACAAAGAAAAATTTAACTAAATTGTCAGGTCAGCTATTCCCTTTTTTAGATGTCGGTAGCTTTTGTAAAGTGGTTACTTCTCTCTCGTCACTGTTGAGTTCTCTTCAACTCGGACTCTATCTATTTGAACCCTGAGGATATCTATGAAGTGACCTATTTAAGGGAGTTGATAATTGCTGACGTGCTTGAGTGAAACCGGTTTTCTCCCTTGCTCAATCATTCACCCATTCTCAGGTGGTCGGTCGTAGTGTGTGATTTGGGATAACCGTTTATTTCGTTCTATTTGGTCCTAGCTTTATAATGCTAACGTTTCTCCGTTGTCACAAGCACTGGTCCACAAACTAAATACCCACGTAATCGCAACAGACAGACGTATTTTCCCGGTTTGATAAAATCAAAAACAACTGGGTAAAACACGTTGCGAACATGTCCGGTTCTGTGCAACCTCGTGCTAAGTGAGGCTATTTTTTGTGGGTTGGCGACCTGTTTCTCAAGTAAAAGACACAATTTTCCATCTAACCACGTGGACGTGAATGTATCCGTCATTCGCTGCCTCGCACACCGTTGGGAAGCAGTTAGAGCAAGACAGGAATGAATCAAATGGGTCCCCTCCTCTCTGTGTCTGCTTCCATCCCTTGTCTTTTGGGTTTGTGGTTCATCTTGCTGCAGAGCCAGGTAAGTTTGGGTGGACAATCGTCTCTGGTTTAGTTGGCCGCCATGGCAATGGCCACGGTGGTGATAGTGATGATGATGATGATGATGGTGGTGGTGGTGGTGGTGGTGGTGAGGATGATGTTGATTTCAGTATCGGTATTTGGGAGCAGTACAACGGAACAGACGGTAGTGGTATTGGTAAGATAGGAACGACCATTTCCTACTTTACAATTACCTCACTCCCTCCCTTTTGGTTTGTTGTCGTTGAAACGCGTGAGCACGCACAACAGACAACTTAAAAACCCCATCTGTTTTCTCAACTCCTGCAGGACACTGAGCGAGTTGGTGGATGAAAGCGTGTCTTTCTTTCTGCGCACGTGTGTGTGTGTGTGTGTGTTGGTGTGCTCGCGCGAGCAGAGTTAGACAGGACACATGACGAGTAATGTGGCGAACTCGGGGACAAATTGCCGATTGGCAATGAGAGAACGAAGTTTGAAGGATCGTTCTCCGTTAGAGAGCTCTCACGATGAGCTTGTCCTAAGACGGGGTGGTGAGATAGAAGCAGAGAGTAACGAACATTCTTGTGTATGTGTGTGCGTGTGCGGGCGCGTTTCACTAAAAGGACTGAGTGGCTGAAGTAACGGGTGAATGTGTGTAAGTGTATGTGTGCATTTGTGGGTAAAACAGAGCAAGACAAATGGACAGAAAACATCATCAAACAATTTACAACCTATAATTACACAGCTCTTTAGGCAGTCAAACACAGGGCCGACCAATCGAACGAACATCGTCGCCGCAGTTCGACCGAACAAACGCAGTTTTCCGTATCGTTATTCGAGGCTCTTTCTGAATGTGTGCATGTATACATCGGGTGCTTGAAACAGTGTGTGGGTGGGGATTGGTGGGTGGATTGTGGGGGTGGAGTGGGGTGATAAAGGTGT